CATGTTCCCGGGTACATCTGCCCAATGTTGGCGATGTCACTTAGACAAGGGCTCACTATTACATGTATGGTGGACGTGCAAGGACATCCTACCTTACTGGTCCATGGTGGGTACCATTGTTGACCACCTCCTTCCTATGAAGTTGATTCTGAGCCCAGCAATATGCCTCTTATACATTTGGCCAGGGGGCATTACCAAAGCTCATACCAAACTCCTATTTCACACGATAATATCTGCATGTAACCTCATAGCAAAAAACTGGAAATCACATAAAGTCCCCACAAAAACCGAGCTAGTTACCCAGATCCAAAAGAATTGGGAATATGAACACATGGCGGCCCAACAACTTGGGATGGGAGGGGCAACTTTAGAGGCAGGAAAAATCTGGGAACAGTACTGGAACACGGTGAAAACCCAGATAACTGGAGATGAGTAGGAACCATTGCCCATGCAATCTGAGAAGGGATACCCTGGGGAAAAGTGAGGAGAGAAAAAGTGCTATAGGACCAAACAGGAATAGCAAACCTTACCCAAAGAAACCAGGTAGATGTATTACAAACAGATGAGACTAAACCCACTGGTGTATATAGGATAACCCCCCCCTCCCCTTGGAACACGCACCCACCCCCCACATTCAACCCCCATCAACACAGTAACATACAGTACAAAGGTAAAACAACATGTGCGGTACAGACTGGTAAACATGGGGACACCTCTGGGCTGAGGTGCATAGATAATGCCCCCCAACAATGTTTGAACTATCGAAGTATCATGTAATAACGGATAAACTGAATGATGGAAATGTGTAATGTACCACCTTAAGAAGTAGTGGCTCTGATTCAGGGGTCGTGACTACGACCGATGAATGAGTGCTATAAAGTCCTGAAATTACTCTCCCAAGAAAGGGAATAACCCTCAATAAGAAAACTTAAAACGGAAAGGAGGACCACGAGAGTCCTAAACAGGAGAGTAATATGAAGAGGGGAAAAGGGGGTCCCTACCTTTTAATAATTCTAAAGATACACACAACAAGACAGGTGGGAAGAAATGTAGCAAAAGAGAGTCCTGCAGGCTAGACACAGGAACCAGTTACTAAAAAACTGCCTGCTGAATGTCTAGGATCCTAAAAGGCACGCCCTCTAAATCTTCCCAGAACAGGGACCCTAATTGAAAAAGAGGGTAACTAAAGAAATAGGGAAAGGGAGCAAATGTAAAGGGAGGTATCCCAAGGAGTAAATATTATGCAGAAAACTCCTATAAAGGTCCACTTGCCCTAGTTACCTCGGCACTGTGAAAAATCACCAGTGCCTACCAAAGAAACTCAGTCCCTGCCTGTCAAAAGTAAATAATAACTGATAAAATAAATTAAATTAAATCAATCCCCCCCCATTTCTAAATGTAACCCCTACCCTCACCTTGTGTGTATAAAAATTGTGAAAAATAAATGTAAAGTGTAAGCTTTTAGTATGCCTCGCCAGAAACAATTATTTTGCCTGACACGGGGTTTTTTTACTGCAACGCGCCATTAACTACCCTCACCCATTTTGGAAAAATAAAAGATTGTCATTTAATTGTAATGTTTATTCATGTAAAGTGTAAGTGCTTTTAGTATTACCCTCATATATGAGAATACATCTGCTTTAGTGCTATTTCACTGTGGTTGTTTTTTTTTTATTTTCTGCACTTTTTTGGTAGCACTGATGGATTGATTTAATTTAATTTATTTTATCAGTTATATTTGGGCACCTCCCTTTACATTGTATTTCCCCTACCTCACCCTTGGAAAAATAAAAATTGTCAAATTGAAATGTAAAGTGTAAGTGTTTTAGTAAATCTATATGAGAAACACTGCTTTTGCTATTTCATGGGGTTTTTTTACTGCAACTTTCCATTAACTATTTGACATTGTATTTTTATTGAGCACATTGTATGGAACCGTGGAGCTATAGCCATTTTGTTCTGTTGTATGACACTGATCACGTCTGATCACTAAGATGCCTTGTTTACTATTTATATCTTATCAATGTAATGTTTATTCATGCTTGACAAATACCCTGAGAGGTCAACGTATTGCCTGTCTGTTGGTATAACAAAGGTCACATACATCAATAAAGCTCTAGGGCTGGGTCTTATTATTAGTGCATTACACCTTTAAGCATGCCATAAATTAGAAAATTAATAATAAATAACACTATTAATAAACTGTATATATCATCTCTAGTTTTACTTAAAGAATAGTAGCAGATATTAAGGAGTAATTAAAGATAAAAAAGACACTTGGTTCAAATTAAAACTATGTTGGTATTTGTTATGTAATTTACTGATGTTATTCAGTTTGATTTCATTGACAAAATAAAATTCAATTATTTATTCATTTAATTGATATTTATTCAATGGATATATAATATGAGTAATTTGGTCTATTATAGTTGAACAACCCTGAATAATAAAAAGAATAATGGGGGAATTGGAACAGGCAATGCTGCAACATTTGTGGCCCTTCCTTATTCATTAAAAATAAATACATTAAGGTCAACATCTGTGCACTGATTTGAAACAAAAAAAAAAGCCGAAAACTGCACAGCTTTAACAGATAACAGCTAACAGTGCCAGGAAATATTGGGGATTCCTTTATCATAAGAGGAACAGGTCTCTGCCGCACAGCAGTGTAATTTCAACGGAGGACTATGCTTCCTACTAAGTTTAGACAGAAATCAATTTGGAAATAGATGCAAAAATCTATGAGAATTTTAATGTGTAATAGCATGGGCACAAATGTTAATCAGCATTGATCTATATGTGAAACTGGGAGAGATCATTTTCAGGACAGTATGCATTTGAGATTCTGTGCCTTTTCTCTTACCTATAATATAATATTTATTATAAAAGACATTGGTTTGAGACAACATTCCTCTGCCCATTAGTTGCAGAGCTCACCTAATGGAAGTTCATGCTTTGAAATGTCCATCACTCCAGAAATAGTAGTGGAGACAGGGAAAGGCACCTGGTAGACTCCAGGTTACAAAGTTAAACCCATTCCAAAACCAGTTTGGTTACTTACAATGGGGGGTGCTAGTGCACTGTGTACTCCTGACAAACTGTAGTGGTTTTGGGGCTTGCTGTGGTCCATTAAATCACTGAGCCAAATTTAAGATAAAATAACTGATCTGGAAAAAACATTCTGCAAGCTGTGCTTGTTTTTTTATTAACCTAAGCTTTATTTCTTACCCCAATCCTTTTATTTCCCCTCCATTCCGCCCTGGTTTCAAGTCTCCTGCGCAACAACTTCATGCCCACATCCCAACTTCTCATTACTCGTTCACTGGGCCATATCTGCCTCCAACCCACAGCTCCCTATGCCACCCCGCAACAAATCCCATTCTGCATTCCCCTATACCCCATTCTATATCCTCTCCATAATTCCCCTCCCTCTAGCTCTCCATTTAAATACTATGGTGGTAAGTGGTAGCCACTAACCATCATGATCCAATGACATTGGTTGTTGAGTTGGAGCTGCATCGCTGATCACCCTATAGTACAGCTCCTGCCCGGTGTTTTATGAAAAAGCCTGGAGAGCACACATGGGTTTAAACTGACATATTCTCATACTCTCCATCCATAGGTCTGCCTACATAATGAATGGCAAAGGAGCCATTGAATGCATTGAGATATATATTGCCAACAAAATGGGGAGGTAGGTTAAACTGCAAGAGGGCTGGTGATCTTCGCTCACACCACGTGCTCATTACATTAGCAGTTGGCCTGGGATTGGTCAGAGAGAAAAAAAATGTATATGTTTCAATTTGTTTATTGAAGATTTTCAATAGAAAACAGCAAATACATATCAAGGTGCATCACGTTACACTTGGTAAAGACAAGATGTGAGAATCATACAATACAAAATTGGTTCACTCAAGAAAAGAGCAATCAGCATCGTGTCTCATAAAGAGGTAATGTACAATGAAGCTTGTGTAAGTATTGTGAAGCATCAACAGACACAACCTGGTCCCAGGCCCACCAAATCTCCCCATGTTTAACCATAGTGCCAGTCAGTCTAAGTGACATATCCTTATAAAGGTTAAAACATGATTTAATATTAATAAATAAAATCAGTCTTTCCCCCCTGTTCAGTGGCTATATCCCACATGCGAGGCATGTCTCAGAGCATTGGTGACTGGGAAACTGATCAAAAGCTATTACAAAGATAGTATAAGATGCCAAGATGTTGGCTAATATGTTTCCTACCATATCTGCTTGTTGTTGGGGTGTAATCAAAGTACTGGAAAATTATCTGATATTGTGTGACACTGCCCATTTTTTTTAATCATTTCTGGTCACATGTCCAGTACCTAATTCATAAAATGACTAATATTGATCACCTTTGAACCCAGAAACATTTCTTGTAGACATGACCTGAAACACATTGAGCAGACCCCTCCAAATTGATGATTATGCTTTTTCTGGTAGAAGCAAAATTATGTATCTCACGACATCCCCGTAACACTATCTCTATGATGCCTTTTGATGCCTGTAGTGCGGGCTATTGCAGCAGAGAAAAAAGCCTTATTTACCTTATGGTAGCAACAGCCATGGAGAGACTTATTAATGTCATAATATTAATAATAATAATAATAATAATAGTAATAAAACACTTTATGTTATGTATTATCAATAATCTGAAGTTAATTTATTATACTGTTAACTTAAAAGCAAATTGCAAGATTTAGACAAAATAGCTAATCTGTGTGTGTGTATGGGGATTTGTCATAAGCTTTGCAATTTCAGTTATGAAGTTGTCATAGATCACTGTTTAGAAAATAGACCCCATTATGAAATTTAGTTAAAAAAGCAGACAAAAAACAAACATGAATACAAAGAAAACACCCACGTTTGTGATGCTATTTACAGAATGCAAATTCCAAATGAAATATATATATTCGCACACTGAGTTTTCTAAATATAAACATATATTTAACTGCTATTGTCACCTTCCCTTATGTCACAGTATGATTGTAGGCGTAGTTGAGTCCCTCAGCAAAAACCCTTTACATAGATATGTCTCCTAGATTTTAGCACAGATTGTGTTTTTTTTATTAACCAAGGTGGGGATTGTAGAGAACCAGCAAAGTAATTGCAAGGGCTTGGTTGAGTGGCTTAAGCACCATAACTACTACAGACTGTTATAGTGGTTGTGGTGCTAGTATTTTATGAGTGTTTTCCTCTATTTCTAGTGTTCCTTTACAGAATTTCTCGACACACATAAAACACTTTATCTCGAAAAGTAAGGAATATCCTATTTTAACTGCACTTCCTAAAAGTGCCTATTTCTTTGAGAAATCAGCAATTTTATAAATAGACAAAAAACACCTCCCCCGCTACACAGACCTAACTGTGCAGGGCGCTCTGCTTCCCCAAAGGACTCCATTGTACTTAATCATCGCTGGCTCTCCTTCTTCCTCCCCAACTGCAGCATCCTCCCTGCCCTCTTCTTCCTCGCCATGCTTCTGATTGGTCATTTGTCTGGCACAGAAAAAAAGGAGATGAATTGTAAATGCTGCAGATAGAAGATCTGCAACAAGACGTGCGATAGCGGAACTGTGGTCAACCACCCGCATACCATCACAAACAAGCATCGTCAAAAAAATACAGGATAGCATACAAATGGATAGGCTCACATCCCAACACCACGACATGCCCAAACACTTCCACAAGGTCTGGGACCCATGGCTAGAAGGAGACACCTCCCTACCCTGGTAAATACAAACACAACCTGCACAGAAGCAAACACCCCCAAATTCAGCAAAACATAGAAGACCCAGCAACACACCCGCTAAAGACTATATTTCCAACATAGCTTCCCTTAAACCCAAACATCACCTTACCCTGTCCTACCCACCGGGCTGGGGTGCCATGTAACAGAGTACTCTAACTACCCATCCTTGGACCTCCCCCGGAGCCCTATTTCTCGACCCACCCTCCACCCACAGCACCACCACCCCACTCCTGCACAGGAACAACAAGAATCAGAACACAACCACCTGATGCACACACACCCCAAAGCACATGAAACCCTATAATGACAAAACACCAAGAGCCAACCAACAACCAGACTCAGAGATAATAATATACTGAAGGCTACTAGACTCCTATACCAGGAAACCGACAACACCTCCACAAAGATATACTGAAAACAGGGAATAACGAACGCCCCACAGGGCCCACAACTCTGCAGAACCGATAGAAATGTTCACATTTTTCCCTTACATGACAGAGTAACGTAACAGGGAGAGATTAACACATGGCCTAACAATCTCTTGTATTTTTTGTTCATGCAACTGTACAAATAAACTCTTGGTTTAGCCTTGAAAACTGTAGAACCTAGCTCTCTAGGACAATTGAACAAAACATTATATTTTTTATTTTTTTTTAATATACAACAAAAGCCATTATTATATCTGCATATGTAACAGGTGATTGTGTGAATTAAAAAAAAAATAGTTTTATTGAAAACTATTGTTATTTTTTGAAAGCAGGTTCCCTTTCAGAAGTATGTTTTGGTTAAACATTTCTTCCTTGTGCTACCTTATCAATGTATTATCTTTCATTGAAATTGTGGTAAGCTCATAGGCTCACAAGTTTAATGCTTTGCCTAAGTCTGTCACATACCGGAATGGGGCATATGTTACATATTTTGTAGTTAAAGGGATACTATATGCACCAAAACAACTTTACTCTAATATCATGCTGCTGCAGTCTTAATGCTCAGTTCTCTCCCATTTAAGAGTCAAATCACTTTGTTTATGCAGCCCTAATCACACCTCCCTGCATGTGACTTACACAGCCTTACTTAAGACTTTCTGAAAAATAACCGAGATATTTTAGGTTCTTTTATTGCACAGTCGGTTTAATTTAGAATTTCTTATCTCCTGTCCTATTAATAGCCTTCTAGGCCCTACAGGAGTCTCCTTTGTCTGATTAAAGTCAATTTACATAGCAGGATATCAAAATTTCAAAAATAACTGTAATCCTAACATTATATTTTCCCTCTACATCCGTGGTTCCCACCAAACGGACGGTAAATTAAGGGTTAACAACCTTGTTTTCACATACCTAATTCCAGCGCCTGTGTCTCTCTGCACTGTGTTGGCTCCTTTTGTGTGATTCAAAAACCTAATGTGAATGCGTGGCGAACGCTGGGAACACATTAAGCCTTCACCATAGAAAAACATTGAATCGATGCTTTCCTATGGGCGATTGCAAGACCTCTAGTGGTAGACAGCCTCTAGAGGCAGTCTTGACACTGCAATGTAAACATTGCAGTTTCTCTTACACTGCAAGAGATAGAGAGTAGTCGGGGTGTCTATAGTGTTCATTTAACATCTAACATCTGAAAATTCAACAATTTCTTTTTGCATGCAAGCTTTGTCAGTTACAGCCTGGGGAGGTGTGGCTCAGGCTTCATAAGCAGAAAAAAAAGGAATATAACTAGAGCTGTGCATGGGCAAAAGATTCAATTTGTCTGCTTCGGCAATTCGGACCACTGGCATTCAGTTCGGTTCGGCACTTTTTAAATCCGTAAGCATCCGATTGTCCGAATGGCATGAAATTCGTACGAATGTACATTCAAAACGAAACGAATCGCACATGTATGTGGCCACATGAATGCAAGCCAACACCGTGACAGCCTGATTTATATGCTATCCCACTTTAATAACTCTGTGTGCCTTCATTGGCCATGTGTCAGTGACAAAATCACCAATATTGTAAAGCACTACAGAATCTGTTGGCTCTATATAAATGGCAATAATAATAATAATAATAATAATTGGCTGTACTCTAACATCAATCACAAAGATTTGCTCATTTCATTGGACAGGGAATAGTGAAACCGAATTGGGTAAGCAAGAATTACATTGCACAATAGGAATTAGCTTATTGGTCAAGATTCCTGTTATCATCAAGTCATTTTACCTCCCTCTATCTTGTTTTGCCACTTTTCAGAAATCCAAATCATTTTGGCTCTTCGGAGCTTCGTCACTTACAGACTTCGGCGCTACGAGACTTTGGCACTTCGGACATTCGTAAGCATCCTAATGTCCGAATGGCATAAAATTCATATAAATATACATTCGAGAGGAAACGAATTGCACATGTCTAAAAATAACTCCTTAATGGCAGAGAATTGAGCAGTGAGACTGCAGGGGCATGATATATATACCAAAATTGCTTCATTAAGCTAAAGTTGTTTTGATGCCTATAGTACCCCTAAACGTTTTAAATGAATTTTTTGAAAAAAAATTAAAATTTTATGTAATTTGAAAGAGGAAGTAAAATAATTATTTATATATACTTTACAAAATCTGTCTACTTTCACATGTCTCCATGACTCCTGCCACTGATCGCTCCATTCACATTTCCGGACTCAACTGAAACCGAACATTTCTATTGTTATGCAAATATTAGTATTTTATTTGATTATTTAATGAAGTAATACCAGTAGAACACTAGACAAAGAAGGAAAGTTATGATAGGGTTAGGTTTTGAGTTTACAACTAAATTATTGTTTAGTATTGTTTAGTGTCTAATTTAATAAGATCTTGCACTGTCAATAACATGCTCTGCATTTTTAATGTCTGTTGTGAAAAATTCACATATTTAAAGGAACACTATAGTGTCTGGAAAACAAACATTTATTCCTGACACTCTAGTGATGAAGTACCTTTTTAGGTTAACAGCTCACTCTCTGTACTGGAAAGGGTGATTTTATTCTGTGTCTCCATGTAAAACTGAAAGACAGTGCTGCACACTGGACTAGGAAGCACCTCTAGTGGCCGTGTGAGTGACTGCACCAAGAGGTGTTACTAGGTAGCAATGTGTTCTGGTTGTGCCCCCACTAACCTTGTTTACTAAGCAAAAATGTAAACACTGCCTTTTCTCTAAAAAGGCACTGTTTACAGTACTAACACTGCAGGACATACTATAGACACCAGAACCACTACATTAAGCAGTAGTGGTCCCCTTCTATTTTCTCTTTATACTGCCTCTCTTAGCAAACTTATTACCTCATTTGGATTCCAATACCACCTGTACGTTAATGACACCCAGATATATCTCTCCTCCCTGGACCTCTCCCCTGATGCCCTCTCTACCTTTTGTATGTGTCTGTGTATATTGTATGTTCTCCACTAATTGTACAGCGCTGCAGAATCTGTTGGTGCTTTATAAGTACCAGTAATGAATAAATAAATAAATAGTGGTTTTGATAAATATAGTGTCCCTTTAAGAAAAATAATACATAATATATTATTTCTAATATATTCTGTGGAAATGTATTCAAAAAAACAAAGCAAAATAACAAAATTTTGACTTTTCATTAAACTGTGCAAGACATTGAGACATTGCACAGCAATTTTGAGACATTGCACAGCACATACCCATTCATAAATACTGGCAAATTAGGTACTGTATTATTCTCAAAATCTATATTGCTCATAGGATTCCCTTCTGTGTGAGTGAAATTTGAATTCCCTCACCCACACAACGTCACACTGGGGACATTCCACCAACGTCAACAAAGAGGTAGAGGACAACAGGTACGTCCCAGAAAGCGTGCTAAATGATATGTGAGCTGCAGAACGTTCCACAGTTCTGTTACATTGTATTACTTGTGAATCAGTTTGGGAGAAAATGGGCATTTCTCATTCTAGTATGTATCCTGTCACATGATCTTGGTAATAGGATCCCTTAGTCCGTCTCTAACAGGGTTTGTATGCAACTGACTGCAGTTGCTGTTAAACGTCTGTAGGGTTCCCCTCTGCCTTATCCTACAATATCTCACAGTTTCCCTCTCCAATCCGTAACAACAACCAAAAATAAAAGACATCCCCCAAAGCTCAGCCAGTCCCTCTCAGTATCTGAGCAAATTAGCAACCTGCTATATCAAGGGGATTCCACTACTGCTCCTGGAGACCTGTCACTCTCCTCCACTCAGATCCCAAGACAAACCCAGCCAAAGTGATGGATTTTTGGACAGTTTCATTGAGGATCCTGCTGTTCCCATCAGCTTTGGGCTTCTGCTCTGATCTCTTTCATTCTGGTAAGTGCAGGAGGGGTGGAGGGCTTAAAGACTGACCAGCAGCTTTCAGTCCTGTCATTGGTGCAGCAGGATTTGGGGAGAGGGGAGGAGGGCAGAAATATGCTTTTGGGATTGCAGACTGCACGTTAAATAGATTGGAGATTGAGGGTAATCCAGGTTACTTTCCTCAG